GATTAGCCAATGAAAAGGGTAGCAGTCGTACGCTAATTACCATGTTTCTCTTTTATTAGTGTAGATGGGCTTTTACAGAAGAACTTCCTGTAGAAAGATGACCGACCACACACCCTTTGTCTAGGGATAACTTTTATGAATTTCAAAGTTCATGTAAAAGTAAATAGTCTAATAGGACTTCTTATCACTAGGTCAAAAGGAAGTTGGGGACTCTAGAAAAACAATGATGGAAATAATTTGGGGATTTCTTAAACCTGTTATTTTCTCATTTTTTACACGTCCATTTGTTTTCCTAAAATAAACATCTGTGACACACATAAATTGTAAAAGATCTTTGTACATCTCTTGGGGGAGGTCAGCTAATGAGATTGTGTCCAGTGTTTAGACATTCTTGGGAGATAAGACTAAGGGATAGCATGGAAAACACACTGATCTCTTGAGCGTAGAAACTCCCATGCTGGTTGACTAATCCTGTGACACAAATGAGGTGAGTTTTTAATTCATTTATTGTGATTTAATTTTGTAAAAATGCAGATTTTAATTTCTCTAAAACTGTGATTGCTCACCAAATTTAATGCTTATCAAATTTTAATTTTCAAAAAGATTAAAAACATGATTCTTTTACAAATATAAAATTACAAGTGTCAAAGATTGATTTAGTTAATTAATGAGAGAACCAGAGGAATGCTAATACTAATTTAAAAATCTACTGGTCAGGCAGAAATATTATATTTGAAAAAAAAAAAAGAATACCAGAATAAGATTGTTAAATTGAATTTTAAAGCCTTGTGTTTTAACCTTTTCAACTACACAGAAAGAATCTACTCATCTACAGAATGAAATTCATTTGCAATGCTATTGGACAAAATTAATTTGAATTGCTATCAATTTTCTTAAGTTAATATTTATATTTTTACAGTTGTAAGGTAGCCTAATTAATGGGAATAGTAGGTCAAAACAAAACTTTATATTCTTTTTTAGTTATCAATCTTTTGTTGCTATTTTTCTTTTTACTGTGATACAGTTAATTATATTTTCTTTCAAAATGAGAAATATAGAGTGATTCCTCCTGAGAAGTGATTCTCATAAGGGAGTGAAATTATGACACAAATCTTTTGGTATTTATGTAAAACTAAAAACCAGTATTGATGTTATTATATTTTTAATTTTAAAAGTGTGCTTGGAAGTCAAAATAAAATTGTCAATGAAATAAAATGTTTAATATTAATAACTATAAAATTTATGAAAAGATTACTAATCATAAATTAAAAAATGAGTTTATAAAAATATAAATCACACATTTTGTCACTCTATTATAAATTAACAGATAAAATGTAAGAAGAATAAAAATGTTATATAAAAAAACTTGTAAAATGCTGAAAGTTTAATTTAATTCTTCTCTCTTTTGGCCATGTGAGGACACAAAGAGAAGGCAACCATCTGCAACCCAGGAGGAGGGTCCTCACCAGGAATTCAATCAGATGACACCTTGATCTTGGACTTCCCAGCCTGAGAACTGTGAGAACTAGATTGCTGTTGTTTAGCCAGCAGTCTGTCATATTTTGTTATTGCAGCCCAGCAGCCTAAGACACCACACCTAAGGAAGATTTTGTTATTTTTTGTTTCCTTTTGGGGGGCTAGAAAACTGTCCCCCTGTCATCTCCTGTATTCTTCATATTTATAAGTTTTTGATAAAAACTCTATTTGCAGCCTTCCAGAATTTGTTTCTTGACATTTAAAGAAAAAATTGTGAAAATAAAGACAAAAACCTTCTCTATCTCAATCTCTTGCCTGACTCTTGAAATTGAAAACTAAATTCAAGTCTGTCCTTACTGAAATTGATCTTAAGAACCTAATTTTGGAATCCAAAGCCAAACTCTGATTATTGACTTTTTCTTTTTTAATTATAACAATACTAGAGACCTGGTGCACAAAATTCATGCACTGGG